TGTTGGAGAGGTCTTAGAATGCCTTCCTGCTGTCCTGCTGCATAACACCAAGCTACATGTCATGGCTCTAAGTCCTGCCCTCTGCCATGCCTCAAGCTTTGAGTGCACCTCACACACAATTTCTACCCAGATTGCACCCTTTTCTGCTGTTTCTCACTGAAAATCTGAACAAGAGCAGCAGGCAGAAGCCATGCCACCACCAGAAGCTTCTCTTGCCTTGAAATTCCCCTCACCAGATGGGTTAGTACATCACTGTTATAGTTATCTTCGCTTGGGGTCCTAGGATAGCAGCAGAGCACAGCCAGAAAGAGGCTTTTTATTTTTATTTTTTGAGACAGGCTTTCTCTGTGTAGCCCTGGCTGTCCTGGAACTCACTTTGTAGACCATGCTGGCCTGGAATTCAAAGAGATCTGCCTGCCTCTACCCTGCCTTTGTGGCTTTTATATATTTTTAAAAAATTATTATTTCTATAATAATAAGAGATGGGGTTTCACTATGTAATGTAGTCCCAGATGTCCTAGAACTCTCTCTGTAGCCCAGGCTGGCCTCAAACTCACAGAGATATGCTTTACCTTCCAATTTCTGGAATTAAAGGTGTGTGCTACCAGGCCTGGATGAAAAAGTTTTTTCTTTTATTTTTATTAATTTATTTTTTATATTCCAATCCCAGTTACCCCTCCCTCCTCTCCTCCTGCTCCCCCCTCACCTCCCATCTTCCATCTGCTCCTCAAGAGGGTAAGGCCTTCCCTAGAAAGTCTACTAAGTCTGTCCCATCATCTCGTTGAGGCAGGACCAAGGCACCTCTCCACCTTGTCTAGGTTGAGCAAGGTATCTCTCCATATAGAATGGGCTCCACTAAGTCAGTCTGTGAATCAGATAGATCTTGGACCCACTGCCAGAGGCCTCATATATTGTCCTGTGTAGTGCTGGGTTAGAGCTTAGGACCTCCTGTGTGTTGGGTAAACTCTGCCCACTGAACCCCTTGTTCCACACCCTGTCCTGTCTCTGAATATTGCCTAGGCTGACATGCAGCCCGGGCCCCACCCCAATAGCTGGACAGGTGCACATACTCTCTCATCTGCCCTTGCAGCCCTTTGTTCTCATGTCTCTCAATGATGAACAGTGTTGAGTCATTTCCATTTAATACAAATAGGACTAGAAGGCCATTGAGAGGTCTCAGCAAGTAAAGGTACTTTCAGGCAAGGTAGCAGACCTAAGGCCCATTAGGGAGTCCCACATGGTGGAAGGTGAGAACTCCACAGGGGGCCCTCTGACCTCCACACATGCTCTGTGGCACACACATGTCCACAAGTAAGAAAAATTAAAAGTTTAAAAAACATGAAGCCAGCAGGTGATGGTGGTACACGTCTTTAATCCCAACACTCAGGAGGCAGAGGCAGTGTCAGGAAGATCTTTGAGTTCAAGGCCAGCCTGGTCTACAGAGTGAATTCCAGGACAGCCAGAACTACACCGAGAAATCTTGTCTCAAAACAAGCAAAACAAACCATGAAACCTTGTATCTGCTGTTTATAAGCAGGAATGGAAATAGCTGGGGTGTTAATCATGACCCAGAGGGGTCCTGTAATATACAGATGGGAGAAGATGGTTTGCCAGCAACCTCAACTACCACAGAGGTGAGCTAGCACTTCTGCAACAGCAAGACGAGGGTCACCTTGAGTTAGCATTATCGAGAAACCATTACATATTTACTCCCTGGTGTGTCTGGAACAAAGTGCCCAGAGGATGTTATTGGAGCTGGTGATAAGTTAGATAGGGGCTGGGAAAGGTCGCCATGAAAAAGTGCTGGGTGGTAAAGATAGGGAGCATCGAGGTGTGAGGCACCCTGCAACCCCAGCCATAAACCTATAAAGGGCTAGACTACAGAGATGGAATTAGCACCCACCACCTGGGACAGAAGTGCCCAGTGTACACACCATACCCACATCCACCATGTCAGTAGATCTGGACAGAGACAGTTACACCTCTGACACTCCATTTGTCCTGAGATGAGGTAAGAGCCACAATACATAATTCTGCAGCAAGGAGCAGTGAGGAAAAATAGCAGCTAAACTTTCTTTACTATTTAGACTCAGGAATTAAGCCTAGGGCTTCCTAAAGCTCCACCTCTGACCACGCCCCCAGCCCTCACAGGAGGATTCTAGGCAGGGCCTCCACCCAGACCACACCCCCAATCCCTCACTGGGGGATTCTTGGCCGGGCTCAATCCCTGACCATGTCCCCAGTTGTCCAGTATACTTTTTGTTGTTTTGGTCCAGGGCATGATGTTATCTGGCTGGTCTGCAACTGGCTATGTAGAGCAGGCTAGCCTTGAACTCCCAGAGATCTGTCAGCTCCCACCTCCTGAATGCTGGGACTTAAGGTGTGGGCCATTACACCTGACTGCTTGCTGTGACACAGGGTCTTACTTGCCCAGTGCTGTCCTTATATGCTTTCTGTAACCTAGAGGCCTTTGAACTTGTAGAGTTCTTGCTTCTGCCCTTCAACTGTCTGGAATGTCAGGGCCCTTTGTTAGTTAGATGCTGAGAGATAATTCCTGACTGCTGCACCCTTGCCCATCATGGGCACAAGAGGGACAACTGAAAAGGCAGACATGTCTGGCTTGGAGGGGAATGGCTTCACAGGTGTGGGCTGCTGTAAAAGTTCCTGGAATTGTACCTTCCAGAGGCTGCATTTATTATGGACCATCATGGGTCAATAAAAAGATTACATGCAGCTGAAGATAAACAGGAATGAAGGAGTGTTCCTGGGGCTGCTGGAGAACAAGGTGTTCCCATCCCAAATGTGCCTGTTGTGCATGTATTCTGTTAACTGGAGGAGGCTGCTGAAGAATGAGTGGACAGGTGGGAGCTAGCAAGGCGGCTCAACAGGAAGAGGAGCTAGCACCCAAGCCCAAGGACCTGAGTTTGATCCCTGGGACCAACAGTGGAAAGAGAGAGGTAGAGAGAAGCCCCCATCCCAGATCTGCCCCACATGGAGGTGGTAGAGAAAGACTTTCCATCCCGCAAACAGTGGGGTGACAAGGGTAGCCTAGTACCTATGTATGTGATGTATGAATGCACACGTAAAATGGTTCCAAAGCCCTGCCCTGCACCTGGCCTGTGAACAACTTTACAAACTAATAAAACAGTAACTGAGTGTAGCAGGTGTGGGGGCCTCACTGGGCACTCAGCAGGGCAGGTGCTCCATTGCAGGGCTATACCCCAACTCTGGACTGATTTATGAGACTAGCCCCTTCTTCCTCAGCCTCCTGAGGTCTGGGTGACAGGTGAATGCCACCCCAACCAGCTGGTATAGTGAATGAATCCTCGTTAGTCTGTGACTTGAGTTTTGTTGGATTTGCTTCTTTATCTATTTAGAGATAGAACCTGGTTGCGTAGCTGTCCCTGTCTGGTAAGAAGCTCGCTGCGACCCTGCCCTGTGGGCAGCCATGCCTGGCACTTTTCTTTTGTTTAAAAGTGGGCAGTGGTGGTGCACATTTTTAATCCCTGTGCTTGGGAGGCAAAAGCAGATGGATCTGAGTTCAAGGCTAGTCTACAAAGCTACAGAGAGAAACTCTGGGGGGGGGGGGGAGACAGATATGGTGATACACACCTTTAATCACAGTGCTTGGATAGTAGAGGCAAGCACATTTCTGAGTTTGAAGCCAGCCTGGTTTACAAAGTGAGTTCCAGGACAGCCAGGGATACACAGAAAATCCTGTCTCAAAAACCAAAGGTAAAAAAAGTCTTGTTCAAACAGAAAATATAGAAATATAGATTCTCAAAAACATGAAACTGAATGGGACTGGGGATGTAGCTTGGTACTGGAGAGTGCTTGGTAGGGTTCCAGTTTTACCACCAGAGAAAAATGCAGAGAACTCCATATGAACCAGGCTGGACAGCACATGCCTTTGTTCCAAACACTCAGGACAGAGTTCAAGGCCATTCTGGGCTAAAACAACAACAAACAGAAAGGCCAATATGTAGCCCTGCAACTCTTGACTTCCATGTACCTGTTCAGAAGAGCCAAAAACTGGGACCCAGCAAGGCATTTGTACACTCCTAATCACAAGAACTTGATCCCAGACAAATGAGCAAACCCCAAATGGTGGACCCATTATTCTGAAATATTATTCAGGCACTGTGGTTGTTCCTTGAGGACATAGATCTCTGTGAAGTGAGTGATAGAAAGTGGTCCTTAGGATTCACACAGAAATTAGAACGGTGACTGCCAGGGACTGGCAAGGGGAGGGGAGTTCATGTTTCGCTCCCACAAGAGCTTCAATACAGAGCAATGGGAAATGTCCGGTGGGCTGTGCTTAACCGTGAAAACTACTAGAGGCTGAGACGGGAGGATTGCTGGGAGCGGGAGTGAAGCCTGGACAATATCGTAACTTCCAGGTTAGTGTGGGGTACTGAGAACCCATCTCAAAATAAAAACCAAACAGGCAGCAGGGTTCAGTGGGCAGCATTCTCACCGATTGGACAGGCCGCCCGGGCACCACAGGAGCCAGGCAAGATGGCACTGGCCTACCATCCCAGCACTTGAGAGGTTGAGGCAGGTCTTTCAGGGATTGAAGGCTACCCTCAGCTACACAGTGACTGGGAGGCCAATCTAGGTTTACAAAAAACTAAAACAAAACAAGCCCGACTTGATTGATAACACTCGCAGGAGGTTTGGAATGCTTCTGCTAGGCACTCCCTACACCCACACCCTGGAGCCCGGTTCGGCCCACCCCTCGGTGCTGCCTGTGCGCTTGCACTCATAAACCCCGCCCCGCACCTGCGACGCATGCGCAGTCGAGAGTTCGACCGGACGACAGCACGTGCCGTAGACAAGCGTCCACCTCAGTTCTTTCTCCTTCAAGAGCAGGGTGCCACAACGCGCATGCACTTTAACTGAGGGCGGAGCCTCGCTGAGAAAGATCTCGCGAGAACCCGGCCCGCAATCTCGTGGCCGCCCCCTGGTCCTCGGCCTTCAGGCTGCGCCGCAGCGTCAGCTTCGCTCGGCCTCAGCGAAGGTCTCATCACCCCGACGTCCGGGGCTCGGTCGCCTCCCACCGCACGCCCGGCCTAGGCCGCAGTCCCGGGCCCGCGTCGCACCGCCCCCTATGGGCCCCGACTGAGGCGCCGCCGCCGGCTGCGGAGCCCCGATGCTGGCTCGGAGGAAGCCGGTGCTACCGGCGCTCACCATCAATCCTGCCATCGCCGAGGGCCCGTCCCCCACCAGCGAGGGCGCCTCCGAGTGAGTGGGCGGATCCTCGGGGAGGGGCGTGGTCGGAGGCTAGGGGTGTGGTCTGAGGCGATAACAGCAAGGACTGAGAAGAAAGGGGCAGGGCCTGACGAGAAAGCGGTGTGGACGGAGGTGAGAGGGGCGTGGCCTTGAGGACTAGAACAAAGCCTGGTGAGAGGGCGGGGCCGGAGAGGCCAGGCCTGTGGTCTGACAGCTGCTTAGCCTGAGAGGGGAGGGGCGGGGCCTAAGTGAGCCCTGTGGCATGTGAGCCTAGAGGGGCGGGGCATGAGAGAATCCTGGCTTTAGAAGAGAGGCCAGATGCAGTAACCATGGTGTCTTAGAATGGCAGTGGCTGAGGCAGGATGGGGAGAAGGGGCAGGGACTTTCAGGGTGGCTCTGCTGGTAAATCTCTGCTGCCAAAAAAGGGAAACTGAGGGGGGTTGGGTGAGCACGAGAAAGGCGGGTTCTGAAGGTGTTGGGACAAAGAAAGGGGAGGTGGAGAGGGGGTCTGAGAGACCCAAGAAGGGGGAAAGGCACCTGAAAGGGGCCTGGAGAGTGAGGGAAGGGCTGAGGCTTTCCAGATGTGTGTCGGGGTATGGTTAGACAGTGGGACAGTGGAACAGAGAACAAAGCAGGGTAGTGAGGTGAGTGGAGCAGTTTAAGGTACAGAGCCTGCAGTGTCTGCAGAGCTGAAGCCCCAGGAGCTAGATGAGGCAAGACAAGAGGCAGGCCTTGCAGGGGCCAGAAGGAAGAAACACTGGGAGGTGGGTAGGAGGTCCTGGCTTGTATGGGGCAGTGCCCTGGGATGTAGACATGGGTAACTGGCTCACTGGGATGGGGTGGGGTGGGGACACGACATTCCTGAAAGAGGGTCAGGTTGAGGGAGGGTTCATCAAATAAGGTTGGGTATAAGGGTTTCCCGGGTGGAGAGGGAGGTTAAGGCTGGGCTTCCTGAGGGAAAGGGGTGTGCCCAGAGGGCACAGACCAGGGGATCATCAGTAAGAAAAGCCTGGGTGGGGCACCCCTCTGTGGGAATATCAGTGTGACAAAGGACTCCAAAGTACAGCGGAGTCAGGGGCAAGTCAGGTTGGTGGGAATACCTGAGAAGGAAGGTAGATGTTGAGGAACCCCACAAGCTATAAAGATGGCCTGGGGAGCTGGAGAAGGAAGGCTGTGAAATGCTGTTCTAGGAAGAGGTGTGGGGGGTTTCCAGTCTGGAAGTCATAATAATGACATGAGGGGTACCTGAGCTATCTGGGAAAGTGCCTGGAAGACCTGCTCCCACAATGAGGATATGTCAACCAGAGGAGTGGGTGTAGCGCCCTGGAGCTTGTATTGTGCTACCAAAGCTAATGGGTTAGAGCAGCCATTGGGAGTTATAGGAGGTCAAGGACAAAGGAGCAGGCAGACGGCGCTGAGGTACTCAAGGCTGCAGTGCAGAGAACAGGGTAGGGCGGGTGGATGGCTTGTTTGAGGGTCTCACTTGCCCATTAGTGAAGACAGAGTGGTGGGAACAGATTTCCTAATTGTAAAAGCCAAGTCCATGAGGCAGAGACAGGAAGATCACCGATTTAAGCCAACTTAGGCTATAGAGTGAGTTCAAGGGCAGTCTGTGTAACTTTTAGACCCCATCCTAAAAGACAGAGCCTCTGCCTAGAATCTGCATGTGAGAGGCTGGCAGAGGTCGTGCCTAGTGTGCGGGAAGCCACAGCCTCAGCTGTGGTTAAATCACAGGCATGGCTGCTACAACTTTAGTTGATCACCTCATAGTCTTGGTTGTTGGATGCAAAGCTACTTGAAATTCCCTCAGCAAAAACAAGGTCCTGCACTAGGCCTTGGCACACCTGGTCTCTAGCTCCTTCACCTCATGTGGTCTGGAGGTGTCTTGGCTTCTCTGGAGCAGCTTGTCACAATGCCTCCATACCTGGGTATCCAACCTCTGTGTCTGGAACCTGTGTCTCTTTCCTACATGGTAGGGATCTTGGAGTGCAGGCATGGATTTTGGGTCTTTGGCTTACCTTCTGCTCCTGGGGCTCTGCAGGGCGAACCTGGTGGACCTGCAGAAGAAGCTAGAGGAGCTAGACCTGGATGAGCAGCAGAGGAAGCGTCTGGAGGCCTTCCTTACCCAGAAGGCCAAGGTTGGGGAACTCAAGGATGATGACTTTGAGCGGATCTCAGAGCTGGGAGCTGGCAATGGTGGTGTGGTCACTAAGGCCCAGCACAGGCCGTCAGGCCTCATCATGGCCAGAAAGGTGAGGAGGCCAGGGTGGGCATTTGCTGTGCTCAGCTTCTCCTCAGTCGTGATGCTGAAGCAGGGTCTCACTGTGTAGCCCTGTCTAACTTAGAACTTGCTTCGAAGACTAGGCTGACCTGGAATTCAGAGAATTGCCCACCTTGCCAAATTCTGGGACTGGGGATGTGCTGTATTGGGGAGTGCTAGCCTAGTGTGCCCCAGGCCCCAGGTTCTTCCTCACCCAAGAACAAACTGTTGCCAGGACTGGACTGTGAACTACTGACCACTAACTAGATAGAACAAGGCCACATGTGGAGTTTGCACGTCTGTTAGTTAGTTCATGATGGGCTGTAGGGTAGCCTTGGCTCAGTGGCCAGAGCTAGGTTCCATCCCCGTTGTCCCGGGAACATCAGGAAATGCAAAGTCATATTCAGCCTGTGCTACATAAGACCCTACATGGAAAACCAAACAGGTCCATCAGTCTGATCTCTAGAGAAGCAGGACTGCTGGGTGTACACATGTGTATAGCAGAAGGGTTGGTGCCGTTTGGAGCCGTGCTAGCAACTAACCCAGGGTCAGTATACCAGGCAAACTCTGACTACTGAGAAAGAGTAAGCACTGTGATGGTGGGTTTACCTCTGTGCTGGAGCCTCAGAGGAGCCCTGAAGGCCACTTTGTAGCATTGTCCCTTTGTGTCCTTTCTTCCCTCGTGCATCATGGCTTGGTCTCCTGCTTTTCTTTGATTTGAAAGCTCATAGCCTCTGTCTAGTGCCCAGCAGACACCATTCCAGCCACCAGGAGGCTAGTGCATGAGTATTAGTTGAGCCCCAGGGCTTTGGCCAATGAGATGCAAGAGGCTGAGTTGTCCTCATTCTGCAGGATTCTGGCCAGGTGAGGAGGGACCCCTGCCTACTTGCTGGCTCCTCTCCATTAGTGCCCTTAAGGTATGGAAAGGTAAGATAAGGACACAGCCAATGGTGACACCTACACATCAGGTCACTAATGTGTCAACATATCTGGTGTTTCTAGAAGTCTTGAGTGTTCTTGCCTGGGGTCTCCTGTTGAGAATCCACTGCTATACCCTGGGATCTCTACCTGCCTAGTGCACAGAACTGCTGTGGCACTCCAAGGGCAGCAGGGGACCTGAAGAGGGGGCCCGAGTCATTGTGGGAACCCAGGAGTTCCCTAACATGCTGGCTGCATCAAAGATGGAGAGAGTGTGCGGGCAGACATCTGAATGCAGGTCACCCCTGTATGGGGCTACTTTGAAAGTTGTTGGCACCGCTCCCTTGGCCAGCATGCCCATTCTGCCATGTATGTTTATCTTGTCATGATGGACCATACAGAAGGCCCAACATGTCTGCACTCTCCACTTTTGCTTTTTGTGACTGGTCCAGCCTCCAGTGACATCCTTGATCTACAGTCCCAGGTCCCTTGGGCTTTGACCCAGGAAGGGTCAGCAGAACTCAAGTAGCTGCAACACACCTGGGCTAGAAGCTGCTTCTCCATGGCCAGTGACGTTTTTGCCTGAAGCTTGTGTATCTCAGAGGCCATGTCTCTAGCAAGAGCAGCATGTGCAGAGCTGCTGTGTGTGTGCTGTTGTTGGAAGTTGGTGACAGACTTGTGGCACAGTGAGAGTGAGGCTGAGACTGTGCTAGGATTGCATGCTTTTGGAAACATCCATATTCCATGGTCCATGCTCTGGACTGGCTGCCATGACATGTCAAAGGCAGAACCTCCTGAATCTGTTGCACTGTAGGCAATGCACATCTTGCAGATTCTCTGTTTCTCGTCACAAAGGAAGTGAGATCTAACCCTTGCCCCCATCTATACATCTTACTGATGGAGGAGGATGGCCCTGCTAAGGGCTGGACCACTTCTAGCAGAGTACACAGGGACCTACAATCAGGCCTAGACCAGGGGCAATTTGGGTGTTTTCATGCAGATCCAGATCCTCCGGGAAACTTTGGGGGACAGCAGAAATCTGAGTGTTGAAGGCTGTGTTCCAGCTGCACAAGATGGCTGCCATGCATTCAGACTCCTGGAGAGAGATGGGAACTGGCAGGCCAGGACACACATTGCTAACCAAACAGACCCTCAGCTGTTAGTCCCTACCCTTCAGGATTAAGGCAGGTGAATGGATGTCCACCTTGCATGTCCCTCCTCCTGGCTCAGCATGGACCCGAGACATCCATTTCAGTTGCTCTGGCTGGCTCCCAAGTGTACACCATGTTCCCAAACTTCCCAAGTACCAACTGCCCTGCATGTACTGGAAGCTTAGTGTCCATCCTTACCTCCTAGTTGTGGCTATTATCGCTGAACAGCCACCTGGCTCTGGGAAGCAGCCCTAGTTCTGGCTTGACTGCTCGGCAGTGGCAGTGAATACCATTGGGATCTGGACATCCATGGACAAGATGGCTTCTCATCAGGGTGGTTAGCATGCCTGTGGGGGCTCACTGCACTGTCTGAATTCCTGTCAGTGCATCCTCCTCCACCTTAGTACTTATGTCCCACAGGCATCAGATTAATTGTATCCAAAACGCTCTGTGGTAACTGAGAGCCTCCCTCATCTGTGGCCTTGCCCGACTTGGAAGGCCTGATGTATTCCAGGTCTCTGTTCTGCATTTGCTTCTATCTTGCCCAAGATTCTCAGAGTGGACCTGGACCCCCACAAGTCCAGGTCACGTGAGCACCAAGATATGCAGTCCCACCCCACAGGCCCATGTGCAAACACACTAATCCCTAGGACTGAGGCAGAAGGCATGGACTTACCACAGTTGTGGGGTAGGTCAAGTCAGTGAAGCATGGGAGGCAGGGCCATGAGGAAGTCCAGGCCAGCCTGAGCTACTGTACTAGGCTCAATTGAGCTTTTGGGATTCTGGAATGTTGGTGGTTCTCAGATGAGCAATGCTCATCCTTTGTGTGTAAAATACCATTCCCATGTGATTTACTTGCTTTCTGTTGTGGTTTGGCTTAGTATGGTTTTGAGGATTTTTGAGATAGGGTCTTACTACGTAATTGTGCTTATTTTAGAACTCACTTTGTGATCAGGCTGGCCTTGAACTCAAAAAGATCTGCCAGCCTCTGCCTCCTGCATGCCAGGATTAAAGGCGTATGCCATTGTGCCAGGCTGGCAAAGCTCTTGCTCTGTTGCTCAGGCTGACTTAGGCTCCTTAGCCTCCTGAGGGAAAGGTCCTCAGGTGTGTCCTCACTCTTGGCTTCCGTTTTGTGATTTTATTTATTTTATTTTATTTTATTTTGATTTATTTTGAAGACAGGGTTTCTCTGTGTATCCCTGTCTGTCCTGGAACTCACTCTGTAGACCAGGCTGGCCTTGAGCACATAGATTGCTTATCTGCCTTGTGAGAGCTGGGATTAAGGGTGTGCGCTACCATGCCCATCATGGTTTTAACTTTTTAAGATTTATTTGTTATGTATACCATGTTTTGCCTCCATGTATTCCTGCCCGCTAGAAAAGGCACCAAATCTCATTATAGATGGTTGTGAGCCACATGCTGGGAAATGAACTCAGGCCCTCTGGAAGAGCAGCCAGTGCTCTTAACATCTGAGCCATCTCTCCAGCCCCTGATTTTAACTTAAAAAAAAAAAAAAAAAACTAAACATAAAAAAGTGTGTGTGTGCCCAAAGGCAAGAAGACACTGGCTCCTCTGTAGGTAGTGCTACATGGGGTTGTGAGCAGCCACATGGGGCACCAGAAACAACTCAGGTCTCCTGTAAGAGCTGCCAGTGCCATCTCTGCAGCCTGCTTTGTTTTCCTATGAAATGGTGCTCATGGACACCAGGCTCTGCCCAAGTGGCCATTTAGAGCAAATCCTCAGATGAGGTGCCCCCTGCATCAGACCCCTTTTGGTCTGTGAATGTGTGTTGGGATGCCGTCCCTGCTTGACCCAGGGGAGGAGGTAGCATCATGGCAAAGTGTTCCTTTGTCCTGCTAGGATGGATGTCGGGGTAGTGCTGAGTACCTTTATTTAGGACTAATAGTGGGACTAGGCTTGGTATACAGATCTTTGCAGGACCTACAGGGACCACAAGATCACAGGGGTACTTCCTAGGCCTCTCAGCTATTGTCATGGACAGAATCATCCTTACCTGTCCTGAATTCAGCTGACTCCTTCATGCCCCAGTTGCCTTCCCTGGGTGGCTTTTTGTCCTTTTGTGGAAAGACTTTCCCAGCTTGCCTCCTGTTCACTAGCTATATCAGTGACACCTGGTTGTGTTTTTTGTGCGGTTGGTTCCCCAGCAGGCATTTCCACCTCAGCTTGTCTCTCCTCAACTTGTGACCCCTGCATTGTCCGTGGTCCATGTAGAGACTTGCTCTGACTCCAGACAGCCCATATGCCCATGGCCTGCAGTGAAGCAGTGGTGGGCCTCATCCCCCCACCCCCCACCCCCGTGCTGAGTGTAAACCAAGGCCTTCCCTATAGACCCTAGGGTGTCCTGTGGACATGGGATGCCCCATGAACCCTAGGCCTGCCTTGCAGGCTCTTACATGTGCTTCCTGCTTAGCCACGCCAGCTTCTAGGAGTAACTAACACCTTGCCTCCCTGGACAGATTTAGAGACTTGATCTCCTATATGGCTCTTATGAGCCTGGCCATGGCTGCTTCCTCACAGTATCTCTTTTATGTAGACTCCACTTTGGGAGGATGGGGAGGGGATTAGTGCTGCTGGGCTCTGGACAAAGCTTAGAGTACTGAGTGGGCTCTGGGAATGGTGGGTCTAGAGGAAGATGGGCGCTGCTGTTGCCTGGGTATATAGAGTAGCTTGGTTAAACAGCTTGGTTGTCATGTAATTCGCATGAGCTTGGTGCATCCCACACACACACACACACACAAGAATAGAATGGTTACTGTCCCCTTTTTTTTTTTTTTTTTTTTTTTTTTTTTTTGTCTGTCTTTTGTTTTTTTCTGAGATAGGGTCTCTCTGTGTAGCCCTGGCTGTCTTAGAACTCACTGTGTAGACCAAGCTGGCCTCCAACTCACAGAGATCCCCTGCCTCTGCCTCCTGGGCTGGGATTAAAGGTGTGGGCCACCACTGCCTGGCCTTAACTTTCCCTGTTTTTAAATCTTCATTTAGGCCAGTTTTACTGAAAGACTAAAAACATTACACACCAGTCTCTGGCACCTATGAATCCACTGCCCAGTTGTGGATTTGCCTATTTTAGGCATTTCTTGTGGAGTCTTGTGTCTGTGTCTCTCACTGACCATGATGTCCTTCCGTATTGTGTGTAGGCAAGCATGTTGTGTGCCCCACTTTAAGCATTGGACACAAAGGTACCCTGGGCACTCCTGTAAGGCATGTGGGTGATATCTTCTCACAAGCAGACCCAGTATTGGGTCTGTGGGGCGGTAGCCAGAACATCCTTCCCTTTGCTCAACAGCCATTCTTCCTCCTTGCAGCTGATCCATCTGGAGATCAAACCAGCCGTACGCAACCAGATCATCCGGGAGCTACAGGTGCTGCATGAATGCAACTCGCCCTACATTGTGGGCTTCTACGGAGCCTTCTACAGTGATGGCGAGATCAGCATCTGCATGGAGCACATGGTGAGGGCTCTCTGTTCCCATCCACCCTCCTTACCCACTGCTCTCATCGGGGGTGTGGGGCAGTGGTGAGCGGTACACAAATTTGTGGTCTTTGAGATCCAGGGAGTCTATAGGGTGGGGTCCCCACGCTATGCATGTGCCCACTGTGGGAAGTGGGTTACTCTTCCAGTAGCTGTTTGTCATGCTCTGAGCTGGGGAGAATGCACCTAGGCACATGGGCCTCAGCTTCAGATGGGAGCCATGCGCCTCACTCTCTAGATAACAGTCTGGGTCTCCAGACTTGATCAAGAATGGTGAGAATTCTGCCTTGTCTCTGCCATGCCCCCTAACCTGCTGAGCCAGGCGCCAGACTCCTGAGACTCAAAAGGCTTGGCAGTTGCTGTGGTTCTCAACTGTGCCTTGTGAGTACACAGACCTGGGGACCATTTTGTATGAGAAGCAGGAAGTGGATGTGAAGAAGATACATTTAGCTGGCGGGAGATCCTCTCATGGCTTTTAGCCCTGTCTCTCCGCCTACCCTGCTTGGCTTAGGGATGAGTAGGCCCTGGGTGTGTGGCCCTCCTCCTCCTATCCCTTCATAGATGTGTGGTCAAAGGCTTCCTGATCCTCTTTAGGAAGGGGACTTCATCCTGTGTGTCAAGGAACTTAAATCCTCACTGACACAGTGGCTGGCAGCCCAGCTTAGGCACAGTGCTAAAGGAGTGCTCCAAGTCTGCAGGTATATGAGGCTCCTATAGGCAGGAGGATTGCCTTGAGTTTGAGGTGCTATCTCAGAACAAAACAAAACCAAGCCAGGTGGTGGTGTTTTTTCACCAGTCTAAAAGGATAGAAAAGAAGGCCTCTCTGCCTTCCTTGCAGATGGAATTTCGTTGTAAATCTTAGATCACCTGCTAGGGGTGTGTCCTGGGTGAAAGGCCTACCCTTGGGGATAGTGTTGGGTGGCCATTTGACTGGTCCTGGCCCTAGTCCACTTGCAGTTTTAGGATGCCACAGAAACTGTGTTTGGCTCCAGAGGTTACACTCAGTGACTACGCCACCTGCTTGGCTCCTAGGGACAGGCAGCAATGGGCTGAGCTGTCCTCTATTAATGGCTTGTGGTAGACAGCACACCAGAGAACCCATCAGTCACAGGAGGAGGATGCAGCTGTGGCCTCTGGTGCAGCTCTGAGTCCCATCCTATGGTGGTTCACATTCAGCCAGACCTTGCGAAGGGCAAGCTGACATCCAGGCTATAACTCTGCATGTACCATGGCATGGCCTTGGGCTGACAGGACCTCCTACAAGCATATGTACACAAAGGGCTTATTTCTGATCTGGAGTGTTCCATCTTAAGAAAAGGCTCCTGCAGAGTTGAGCTGTTCACCCCACCAAGAAGGAGAGGGAGAAGCTGGGGTCCTGACATCCTCTTCCCACCAGCACCACCTCTCAGGCCCTACCACCTACCTTCCTGTAGAACCAACTGTTACTGTAGAGGAGAAGCTGCTGCTATAGGTCCTGCCAAGAGCCTGCTGGGGTGCTTACACTGTCTTTTACCGTGCTGTGGAGGGATATCAGGGAGAGCAGAAGATTCTAGGGCTCGGCCTGCTTTATCTGTGTTTGAGTCTTTCATAAAAAAATTTCTGATGCAGCTAGGTGGTGGCACACACCTTTAATCCCAGCACTCAGGAGGCAGAGGCCAGAGGATCTCTGTGAGTTTGAGGGCAGCCTGGTCTACAGAGTGAGTTCCACGACAGGCTCTAAAGTTATACAGAGAAATACTGTCTCAAAAATCAAAAAAACAAACAAACAAACAAGAAAGAAAGAAAGAAAGAAAGAAAGAAAGAAAGAAAGAAAGAAAATGATGGCATTTTCTTTGGGTCGCCAACCAGTTTCCAAATAAAGACACAAAGACTTGCTATTAATTGTCAATGCTTGGCCTTAGTTTCGGCTTGTCTCACTAGCTCTTTTAACTTAACCTGTTACTATTCATCTTTTTACCTTGCTTTCATTCAGTATGTCCTACTCCTACCGTCAACCATCCCCCCCAGTCTAAATTCCTCCTCCTACATACTCTCCCTGCCTGAAAGTCCTGCCTATACTTCCTTCAGCTTTTTATTAGAACAATCAGGTGCCTTAGGCAGGCAAGGTAAAACAGTACACATCTTTGTATAGTTAAACAAATGCAGCATATCTTTGTATAGTTATTCCACAACAGTGTGATGGTGACCGTCTCTAGAGCACTGGGGGCACATACAGGGACTGGCAGGTAGCATCTGAATTTAGGCATCTTGCTCTGAACACTATGACCAGGCTATGATCATCTGAGCTCGCCCCCAGGGACTCTCAGCCATGCCTAGGGATGTGTGTAGCTGCCATAGTCAGGGAGTTGGGAAGAGGCCTGTCAGGCCTCAACAGACAGACCAGGCCCTCCTCAGCACCCTTCAGGGCACAGTGGGGCCTAACAGAAGCTGTGGGCCCTGCTGCCCTCACTAGACAGCAACCTGTCCTTTCCCCAGTTCCCAGCCAGGGTCAACTACAATCTCAGTCAAAGCATAGGGCTCCAGTGACCCAATACACAGCTGGACAGGTCCACTGGAAGGCCAGCCACCTGGGTGATAGTCCACCTATGTGTTCCAGCAGCTCCCGAGATAGCTGGGTCTTCTGGACCTGCTCTGTGTGTCCCTCTGAGCACTGTGGCAGGGAAGCACAGGAGGGGGCCCCTTTCTGACCTCATCTTCTGAGGTCCTATTTTCCTGTGTCAGTTTAGAAATACAGGTGTGACAAATTGGCAGTGACTGCCTAGTGTCCTGGCCCAACTGGAGTCAGGACAGTATTTCCTCATATGTTGAATACAATCGGGGCAGTGCCCTGGGTGTGAGGAACAGCCATGTTGGTGATCTGTGGGACCTGTTCCTGCTGCTCTTCTGTGGGGCACAGCCTCCCGAGACAAATGGCTGTGAGCCAGGCCTGTCCCATCTCCCTAAGGAGCCCCAGTCTCACCACCTTTTCCCTACTGTTCTGGTACAAGGAGCCAGCTCTTGACAGAGGTTCAGGGCTCCACAAACTCCCATACCACACACCTACTTGGGAACCTATGGAGAGCAAAGGCTGCTGGTGGTTGGGTTTCTTGACAAGGCCCGCTGCTCAGCTGCTGCTATCTCTGCATGTAGGATGGTGGCTCACTGGACCAGGTACTGAAGGAGGCCAAGCGGATCCCTGAGGACATCTTGGGGAAGGTCAGCATTGCGGTGAGTTGGCCAGCTGCTGGTCCTCCACTGGCAGCCCCTCCCTAGGAGACTGAGCAGTCAAGTCCTAATCTGTCTGGGGTCCTCTGCTAGCCTCTCCCCAGAATTTAGTGAACACCCACCCAGCATTTAGGAAACAGGGGCAGCCTGGTCTACTAGTAAGTTCCAGGTCAATTAGGGCTATAAACTGGTCATCTCAACAGTCGACTGAGGCAGGAGGATTGCAGTGGCCCTGTGCTTTTAAATATGGACAGTGACCATGTGCTTGCTGCAAGTACCCATGTGGGGCTTGGGTACTTAATGTGTCACTCAGCTGCTATGGCGCTATCCTCCTGTGGCTAGGGAGGTTCATTGCAGCCTAGAGCTGGTGCTGGTGGCACAGAGGCTACCCACCTCTGACCTCTGACCTGGCTGGTGGGGCTACCATGCTATCTTCAATGCAGGTGCTCCGAGGCCTGGCATACCTCCGTGAGAAGCACCAGATCATGCACAGAGGTGAGTGGGTTATTGTGTGCATGTGCAAGCTGGCCACAGCAGGCACAGACTCACACACTGCCCTGTGTGCAGATGTGAAGCCCTCCAACATCCTTGTGAACTCTCGTGGTGAGATCAAGCTGTGTGACTTCGGGGTGAGCGGCCAACTGATTGACTCCATGGCTAATTCGTTTGTTGGAACACGCTCCTACATGTCTGTGAGTATCCTGGCCCCCTCTGCACACATTCTCGGTGGGGTCCATCTGTGGTTGTGAGTGTGGCCCCTGTCCTATTGCTGCCAACCCCAGCTCTGTCCCTGTCTCCTCTCCGACAGCCAGAGCGGCTACAGGGCACGCATTACTCTGTGCAGTCAGACATCTGGAGCATGGGACTGTCACTGGTGGAGCTGGCCATCGGGAGGTACCCCATCCCCCCACCTGATGCCAAGGAACTAGAGGCCAGCTTTGGGCGGCCTGTAGTCGATGGCGCAGACGGAGAGCCCCATAGTGTCTCGCCGCGGCCCAGGCCGCCTGGACGCCCCATCAGCGGTACGGGACAGGGCAGCTAGCTTGGGAGGGACAGATTTGGAACCAGCTGCCATCCTGCTGGCCCTTTCTCTGCACCAGCTGTCCCCTGGACAGGGCATGCTGTGGTCAGCAGTCCTCAGATGGTCCTAGGCTTCCTGGGGACAGAGCTGCAGGCAGTGAGTGTCTCACCGTAAGGCCAAGGCAGCTGCACCTGTTGCTGCCAGCTGGAAGGCCGGAAGCTCCTCTCTGGGGCAGGCCTTGGCCAGCTGCTGGGTTTCCCAGTATTTCCTCATGAAAATGCGTAAGTAAGGGCTGGGGTACAAAGGGTGCAGATACAGCTAGCAGCCTGCCCCTGAATTCGGTGACATCCCTGGGGCTAGGTCCTTAGCTGCACAGGAAGCACAGACCAGTTGCCAGGGGTCCTAGGGAGATAGTCCAGCCCTTTGAGTGGCTGCCTTGGCCACTGAGAGTCAGGCGCAGCCTCTGCAGAGCACCAGGTGCTGGGATTTAAGCAGCTTGTTGGGAGTGTGGATGCCTTTATGATTGCTGAAACAAGGTATAAACTCTGAGGCTTGCTTCCTGGAGGCCCAGTGGTTAGCACATCAAGAGCTGGGTAAAGCTGTCCACTCTACCTGGTTCTAGAACATTCAACCACCCCTAAAGGAACTCACATGTTCTGATGTCCGGCCCTCAGTCCCCTCTGGACATTTCCTGTTATGGAGCTCACACTGTGTGAATATGTGCCTTGGTCTCACTAAGCACAATGGGAAGTCCCTTGCATGTGGCTGGACTTGTTCATTGTGTGTGGTGTGTGATTCTCAAGCCCTTATGAGCAGAGAGCCCCCTCCCCACCCTGCATCCTGATCTGGCTACTCACCCTGACACTGGATTTCGGGACATGTTCCTCAGCTGACCCCTTCTTGATGCCACCAGGGCCCCCAATCTTCTGGTGAACTGTTGTGACATCAGGCCAGCTTATTGGCCAGCATCTACCCTGCTTGAATCCCAAAGCAGCAGCTGTGGCTGGATGGGCAGATCGCACAGTTCAGCTGCTAGCCATCAGTGCCTTGAGCAATGGTCACCACCTGTCAACCCTCTGTTCCAAGTCCTCAGCAGCTGCTCTGCAAGATCTCATCAGTTTCCTCGATTAGTCACCAGACCCCCTCCCCCACCTACCAGGCCCTTAGAGCGACAGGGCTGTCTGTGACTGACTGGGCTGTAATCATCCTCAGTTAGATGAGTGACTTCTTGGGACACTCCTGCAGGAGTGCAGAAGTAAGGCCGGGCAGGGGCACCCTCTTTTGTCTTCCCCCAGTTATCTGTCCTTTGTCCTGCCAACTAGGTCATGGGATGGACAGCCGACCTGCCATGGCCATCTTTGAACTGCTGGACTACATCGTAAATGAGGTGTGTGCCCTTGGCCTTCAGGCACTTTGCTCAGGGAGTTAGCTGACCTATTGTGGATGTTGCCTGGGGGAGGGAATACAACCCTATTGTAGATGCTGTGGGCTAGGGGCATCTGGAGGCCCTCCCCTCAGTAAAATCCAGTCAGGTGTTGACAGCAGGCCTATGACCCCAGCCCCTCAGAAGCTCAGGTAGAAAGCTCTTGAGTTGGAGGGGGTCAGTGTCGGCCAGCCTGGGCTAGAACTGTGGCCATCTCCATAAGAAGAGGATTGAGGACATGGAAGAGCTCCTGCCTAAAATCCCACAGGGAGGGGCTAGGTTACCTCCTCAGGATCACACACATAGGTGAAGTTTCTTCATAGCTCCACCTCCTACAGTAGGAAGTTAGATGTGTTTGGGTCTAGAGGGCTCTTTGAGCAGGCTTGCTTCTGACCTACTACCCTTGTACCTGAGGCTAAGGCAGGAGGATGGCCTTGAGTTCAGTCACATAGTGAGTTCCAAATCAGTCTCAAGTATAGTTCGAGACCCTGACTCAAAAGGATAAACGGTCCACAATGGAACAAAAAATCCAAGCCCGTCTCCAGAAGGAACCAAGGTCATGTGTGGATGTACATCCCTAGAGCAAGAGGACATGGGCCATGGACGCTCCTATCCTGATGTGACTGAGCCTGGGTGACAGGGTTGCCACTGTGCCTGACAGTGGCTCCAGATCAGCCAGTGCTTCTCCCAGGAAGTCCTGGAGCCATGCTTCACAGGAAGGGTTCCACCTGTACCACAGGGCGTCTCTGCCCACCTGCTTGATGGTGTGGAGAAGCTAAACTGGAGAAGCCCAGCACAGTGAGGGAGTGGCCAGAGTCCCTGCAGCCACCCAAGTGACCCTTCCCTGTCCTTCACAGCCACCTCCCAAGCTGCCCAGTGGTGTATTCAGCTCGGACTTCCAGGAGTTTGTGAATAAATGGTGAGGTGGGTCCCCGGGGATGGGAGAGGTAGCTCCACACTCCAGCCATGGGTTCCTGGGCCAGCCACTGTGTACAGTTGAGTTCAGTGTTTCCCCCACACCTGGGTGCCTATGCACGGCCCCTGGTCCTGTTCCAGAGCTCCCACCCAGTGGACATCTGGGGGAGGTGGTTAGCTGAGCCTCTGAACCCCTAGCCCTTGAAGTTTGGTCAGCTGTGGTGAGGTGTTTTCCTGAGCACAATGGGGCCAGGAGGCAGTCTGCTTGTGTGCGGGGTAGTGGAGTTGCCAAGCTCCCTCTGCATTTGCCAGTTCATTAGAAATTTAGCTGTATGTGGCAGGGATGCACTCCTGATGTTCCAACACTCTGGAGGACAAGGTTATCCTCTGCTGGTGAGTTCAAAGCCACCCTGTGCTACATAAACCCAAAAATATTGCAAAAAAAGAGAAAGAAAGGAAGGAAGAAAAGAAAAGGAAAGAGAGAAAAAGAGAGAAAGAAAGAAATCAAGGGCTACTGGTAATCAGTCCCCCTATACACCCCTTAGAGCGTCTAAGCTGCAGCTACTGAGTGACATTCCCATTTTGTCTCCTTGTGCTAGCCTCATTAAAAACCCAGCAGAGCGAGCAGATCTGAAGATGCTGATGGTGAGTGGAGATGTGCCCTAAGCTTGGGCACTGTTGGGCTGTCTGCATGGCTACCTCATACCACCCAGAGGCCTGGACCATCTGTGAGGCTTGGATTTTCTGTGACAGGAAAACACTCTATAGGCCTGCACCCTGCAAGCCCTCCTACAGGGTGGGATTTACCGTGCAGACCTCAGCAGTCCCACTGCACAGGCCTAATCTGGTTTAAGTGCCATCTGTCTCTTAGGCCCCTGAAAAGGAAAGCCATGTTAGTCTCAGGTATGTGCGTCCCTGCTCCACTCCAGAGATGGCCTTAGTTGCCTCATAGCTGGGTGTGGTAGCACATGCCTGCCATGCCAACAGGCGGAGGCCAGACTAGGCACACATGCTTCTTCTTGGCATTCAGGGAGTTGAGGCACAAGTATTAAAATTTCAAGGTTTGTCTTTGACTTCATAGTAGTTTAAGGCTATCCTGGACTTTGTGAGAATATCACAGAAAGAAAAAGCAGTGGGTTGGGCAGTGGCATACACCTTTAGTCCTAACACTCTGGAGGCAGAGACAGGAGGAGCTCTTGGTTTAAGGCCAGCCTGGTCTACAGAGCGAGTTGCAGAGCTACACAGAGAAGCCCTGTCTCAAAAAGCAACAACAAAAAGAAGAAATCCAAGAAAGAGGAGAGGGGTAGCCATGCCCCCCTGTGACCAGGCAATGGGTTCCTGTGTCACCCACCCACACCTACCCTGTGAAGGAGGCAGGGTCATAGGGATGGTTAACCAGCCCCAGCATACCCTCAGCCAGACTTGGGATGTGCCGCTGTTGTGAATGGAGTAGGTAGAGGAACAGGTAGAGGCCAGGGGCATCCCAGGCTGTGACTGATAACCCTGCCTTTTTCAGAACCACGCCTTCATCAAGCGCTCCGAGGGGGAGGAGGTGGACTTCGCAGGCTGGCTGTGCCGAATCCTGCGGCTGAAGCAGCCCAGCACACCCACGCGCACTGCAGTCTGACAACCTTCGCCCAAAAGCCTCTATGTCCTTGTCCCTGCTGGCACAGTGGCCGCCTCTGGGAATGGTGAAGCTATGTGTTGTGGCAGGGGACCTGCTTCCATGCGTTTGACAAACCAAACAAAATGGAGAAAGAGAAAGCTGCCACTGTGCTCCTGGCCCATTGCTCGCGCTCGCCAGGTGGAAAAAGGCAGGGCCAAGGGGGGAGGGAGGAAGCAATGCCTCCTTCCCTACAGAGGGTGTGGGAGCAGGGCTCCAGGGAGCACAGCTGAGGGGCTGGCCTGTGCTGAGCAGGAAGTTCCCTGCTGCCCTCTGGGATAAAGACCCCAGTAGATCTGGGAGATCTAGATAAGAGCCTCCTCACAGCTTGTGGCAACCCCACAAGTGCTGGGCAGCCCTGTCACCTCCGCCTACCCACCCACCCATCAGAGTCAAACTCAGCCACAGTGGGCTATAAAGAAAGTGGAGAGGGCTCTTCAAGTTCCCACAGCTTGAGGAACCTGAGGTTGGAGCATACCCTCTAACACTGACATGACCCAGAGCCAGCATTGTAGAAGTGCTGGGGCTTGCAGTCTGAGCTGTGTGTCATCGTCCTGTACAGTTCAGCTGCAGAGCCTCAGTTGCTAGGAATGAGAGGCTGTGAGGAGGCTAAGAAACAGGAAGTATACAATGCAGTGGGGGAGGGGCTGCCCTTGTACACCTCACTGCCATGAGTTACTTCCCATGAGTCCTGTGGAATCCTGTGGTACCCAAACACTGGGAGCGCTGAGGCAGGAGGATGGCAGACTTTAGGCCAGCCTGGGTTACATAGTGAGAACATGTCAGGAAGCAGGAGTGCTGGAATCATACTTGTGGGACTGTGTATGTGTTTGTGTTTCTGTTTTTTCAGACAGGCTTTCTCTGTGTAGCCTTGGCTGTCCTGGAATGCACTCTGTAGACCAGGCTGCCCTCGAACCCAGAGAGATCTGTCTGTCACTCCTGCCTTTGTGTTGGAGATACAAGGTCTCTGCAACCCAGGCTAGCCTGTAAATTGAGGTTCCCCTGCCTCAGCCTCCTTAATGCTTCAGTGGTAGACATGAGCCACAGCTAGCAGCCTTTGCTCTTCACCTGCCCCTCCTGATCACCATTTTTATTTTTTTATTTACTCAATTTTCTAAAAATGATTTTTGAGACAGAGATTGTCTATAGCTTTGGAGGCTGTCCTGGAACTTGTTCTGCAGACCAGGCTGGCCTCAAACTCATAGAGATCCACCTGCCTCTGCTTCTGGAGAGTTGGGATTAAAAGCAGGTGCCACCACTGCCCAGCATATATTTTTTTAAGATTTATTTATTTATTTATTTATTTATTTATTATGTACACAGTGTTCTGCCTGAATATGTCTGCACACCAGAAGAGGGCACCAGATCTCATTATAGATGGTCGTGAGTCACCATGTAGTTGTTGAGAATTGAACTCAGGACCTCTGGAAGAGCAAGCAGTGCTATTAACCTCAGAGACATCTCTCCAGCCTGTTTTTTTTTTTTTTTTGTTTTGTTTTTGATACAAGGTCTCTACATATTCCTGGCTGTCTTGGAAGTCATTACATAGACCAGGCTAGCCTTGAACTTACAGAGATATGCCTGCTTCTGCCCACTTCCCCCAGTGCCAAGATTAAAGGCACACCCTGCCTCCATCTGTTCAGTTCTAGGGGTGGACCCACTGCCCCCAGCAGTTCTCAGAGGTACTGGCTTAAGAATACCTGGACTGGCAATATTCCATGTGGCTGCTGGTCCTTTTGTTTTAAAGTGGTGTGTCTTACCCTGGAACTTATTATACAGACTGGACTGGCCTCTGCTGTCCCATGCTGGAACTTCCCACAGAGACCAGTGACCCAATCTGCTCAGTCCATCCACCTGCCATGGCCTGCTGCCTCAGGATAGGGCTAGCTGGTTGCTGTCCAGATGTCTCACTGCACTTGCCCTGAGTCACAGCCTCAGCCTTGATTGGACTAGGAGTCCATGTGTGCAGACAGGCATGGGGACCTGGGTTTTGGTCCCAGCTGCCTGTCAAAGCCAAGCATGGCCACGTGGACCCAAACACTCAGTGTTTGGAGGGTCCTGGAGCTCAGTAGCCAGCCAGCCCAACTGGAATGAGCTTCAGTGAGACTGTCACAAAAAAAGGTGGTCCCATTATGGTGGTGCAGTCCCTTAGCCCCAGCACTCTGAATGCAGAAACAGCAGTCTCTAGTCACCCAGTGCTACACAGCCAGATTCTGTTAAAGACAAAAGCAAAGAGGCACAAAGTTACAGAGACCCTGTGTCCTACTTTGACCTCATAATGCACCATGTTGATGCACTTACGCACATGCACACAAAAACAACTGGGGATCTGCTGGATGGGATGGCTGTCCCTTGTTACTCTTAACACTAGGAAAAGTGAGTCAGGGTGATTGCCACAAGTTTGACACCCATCTGCAGAATGAGACAATAACCAAAGGAGACCAAGGACCAGTCATCCTAGCAGTTGGGACTTGAAGGCTGGAGTATGTGGTTGTGTGCCCTGATTAACATTACGAGGTCATGTAATTTGTCTCACCCACCTGTCAGTAGCCATCACACAGTATGGTGTGACAAAACTGACTTCTGGGACCTCAACAACAGCTAGGGATATGGGATATATGCAGCTATTCTAGCCTTGGAGTTGCTGACTCAAGTCCCTAGGTGCCAGGAACACATCTCAGCACTGCCAGAACCAATGATATCCCTTGGCCAGTGCTCCCAAGTCTCCTTTGTCCAGATTCTGGGACCTAGGACAATGTAGGTACACAAGCAGGAGCATTTCAGAACCTTCTGGGAGGTGGGCAGTAGCCCTTCCCCCCAACCCAGATGTGGGCATCAGGAGATTCCCAGAAGGTAGGCTGGCTGCCACCTCCCTCCTCCCTACCCTATTGTTACAGAGCAGGTGAGCTGCCTCTCAGACACCTGCATCCATAGGCCAAGTGGCTCTGGGCACAGGTGCAACCCATTCCTGGGTTACTATAGCTTCAGAGACTGGGTGGCAGTGGGGCTCTGGTTTCTACCTGCTTCCAGGGAAGGGGGGGGGGGGAGCTGTAGGGCCAACACTGGGTCTCTGGGGGCAAAGGCAGGTGGGGAAACAATTGAGGGTGTGCTGGTGGGATATCAAGCTGGGGCCTCACACTTTAAGACCCTGGGGGAAAGCTGGCACCATGCCTGCCTCAGTTTTTCTGTCCTTAAAGATTAAGGAGCTGGAAAGAGGGCTCTGGTTATGATCGCTAGCTGCTCTCCCATAGGTTCTGAGTTCAATTCCCAGCAACCACATGGTGACTCACAACCATCATAATGGGATCTGATGCTCTCTTCTGGCACACAGGCATACATGAAGATAGAGTACTCATCTGTTAAAAAGTAATTAAAAAGATCAAAAGATAGCTTCTCAGAACAGAATCTTGGCCCAAAGGCTGACCAATATTTGCTTCAGACATGGTCCCATATAGCCCAAGTTGTCCTTCAACTCACTGTGTAGCTGAGGGTGGCCTTGTAAACAGGATGGGTGCTGGGTATGGAACCCAGGGCTGCTGCCTCAATTCTAAGTGGCCACTAGCCACTGAGCAACAGTTCTCCAAATCTGTTTTGCTGTTTTTGGCATGTCTGCGTAGTCCAGCCTGGCTTCAAGCTCACTAAGATTTGCCAGCCTCTTTCTCCTGAGTGTGTGGGTTGAAAGTGTGACCACTATGCCATCCCTAAATTCTATTATCCCCTGTTGCCTTTGTAACCCCTACAAATAGGTAGGCGGATTCTCCTGTCAGCTGAGCTGACAGGAGCAGATGGAACTCATGGAGCTGCAGGGCCTATCCCTGTTGATGGCCTATCCCTGAGGGGAGCCATCAGCTCCCTTGACCTCACCCCATCTCCCACAGCCCTGCTGTCCTCACTTTATGCAGCACAGATAATTGAGGCTCTTCATGGGACCTTAAAACACAGAATCCCCCTCTTCTGGGAGCCCACACTGAGCCACAGGCCCTGAAAGCCAAAGATTCCTCGGAGAGGTGTATTGCAGCTCAGCTTAGTAGGATTCTCACATAAAACCAGCTGGGACCTGGCATTGGTGGCACACACCTGTCATCCTAGCACTTGGAAAGTGGAGGCAGGAGGACTAGGAAGGATTTTCATATTTATCACCAGCTACATACTGAGCTGGATGCTAACCTTGGCTACATGTATTACATGCAGTTTTCCCCCACCATCCTGGTCCCACAGCAGTGTCAGCCCCAAGTAACACACAGATATAAAGCTGTTGGCCTCTTACTAGTGTTTCTTATTGCCTAGCTCTGTTTTAAATATTAACCCATTCCTATCCATCTAAGTGTTTCCACGTGGTCTTATCCTACCGAAGAGAGGGTCCTCGGGACCTCTTAAGTCTCTACATCTTGAATCCCTTTACTACCAGAATCCTCCTTATCTTCTAGTCCCACCTATCTTGTTTTCCTATTGGCCAACAGCTTTATTCATTAACCAATAAGAGAAATATGTTTACAGAATGACATTTCCCATCATACATGGGACTTTACTTGGGGCTGGTGGGTAGGTGTTCCAGTGTTCACCATTAAACCCAGCACTCAGGAGGCAGAGACAGATAGCTCCCTTGAGTTGAGGCCAGCCTGAGAGCAAGTCCCAGAACAGCTGATTCTACACTGCCTCAAAAGGTGTGGGGTGTGGTGCTGGTCCTGGCTCTGAGGTGGACAGTGTTCTTGTATCACCAACAGGAAGGGCCATCTATATGGCTATTGATGCTAGCTTGTAATTCCAAGATTTGGGAGATAGAGGCAGAAGAATTGTCCTGAATTCTAGGCCAGATTGTACTACAGAGAGTGAGTCCCTGTTTCAGAAAATAAACAACAGGGATTGGTGAGTTAGCTCAGCCATGAAGTGCTTGCTGAGCAGTCTTGGATCCCCAACACCCACGCAAAAAGCTATGCATGGCAGCACACTCTTAAAACTCCAGTGTCATGGAGACTGCAGCAGGAGAACCCCTGTGCTCACCAGTCAGGCAGCCCGGAGGAATACTTGGGCTGCACTCCGGAGACTCTGCCTACAACGCTGGCTTCAGTGTACACATAAGATAACAAACCAAGGAAATTACATCA